CCAAAATTAGAAACCGCACTTTTAGTGTGTGGTATCGTTAATATAGTGATCTCTTAAACCTGTAGTCAAAGCATTATTGTACACTACAGAATTTTACATCAGTCCACATCAAAAAACACTGAAGGCTCTTGTGACCATGGTAATAAACCCCCGAGTTCCATAAAAGAAACAAAGAAATTTGACCAGCTGAATGTACTAATGGTTACTCATGGACACTGATGACATATTAAAATACCACATTTAGTCCATTCGGTTCAAAACGATCTTGATTCTTATGCGTGCCCCCGAAAAACTTCAGCGCAATGGAATCCTCACCCTGCCCTTCACAAGAACTTTCCTAATAAACTTCAATTGACTTTTTTCACCTTGTCCTTGGCAAGAAGCAGCTGCTTTACGACGACGATATCTGCCAGCAACAAGACTCTTGTGACAGAACCAAGCAGACATCGTGCAGCTCGAACCACGGCTCCTCGGTCTGTCAGAGAATCCTCCAGAGCAGCCTCGCACAGCTTCTCAATAGCAGTACCTGCCAACACAGCAACAAAATCCAAGGTTGAGAACACTTAAAGCAACGGCTTCTGCCAAAATTACACCGACCTGAAGAACACTGTAAATGTGCCATCAGCAAGCTTCCAAACATCAAGGAATTAACACATAAGGATATTTTTCCTCTAGATTGACTGGCACTGCGGGATGTATTCTCCCACAGGATTCTCATTATCTCCAAGGACTGGATGCCGATAAACATTATCAACCTACGGCTTGACGTGGAATATGAACCACGCTGGAGAACTGATAGTACTTTTCAATTAATAGTCTGACACCACAAAAATAAAATTTGCATGACAAATTACAGCGTAAACCCCAAACACCAAATTTGGTTGAAATCACAGTGGTTTGGGAACAGAACCCGCACATGAACAGTCAAACAGGGAGACAATACCTTCTCCATTAGGTGAACATTTTGTGTTTCGTGTCAGAAATCAGTCTGCTTACCAGCTGCACGTGCCTCCTTGCAAGCCTCGTACATATCCTCCTTGATCTCAGGGTTGTCATCTGCTATTGTTTCCCCCACTGTAACAAACCTCTCCACAGCCAGATTTACAGCCTGCCCAACCCGAGCCACTGCCCTCAGACTGCGCTCTGAGCATAGCGGCCGCTCTCGATGAGTCACTAGTGTTGAGATCTGCACAAGATTAATAATATACAGTGAGAAAAACAAAGATGTTGTGTTAGAAGCTTATGATGATGCTAGTGTAGAAATAAACACAGAACAAAAGATTTATAATCAGAATAAAAGACAAAAATTTTCACACTGGTAATGCTAATAAATTTTCCAAAACTGTCTGGATGTTACAGAACTAAGGCAACAGGCTCTGATCAGTATACAAATGCAGGCTTATATGAAAATAGTAATGTACATTCAGGTCCCATATAAGCCTTAAAGTAACTACAAGTTCTGTATTTTCAAGAAAGGTTCTATACCATGGGGGTGAACAAGTTAAAATGTCCGTGATTCTTAGACTTAATTCCAACATTCCATCACAACATCAAACTATACTTTCACGGAGCTGAACAATACTTTTGTAATTTTCTCCAGATAACCTTCAACTGCATAATCCCCATGGACAAATCCTCCTAAAAGATCATGAGCCCCTACAAGTTCTGCACTAAAACTTGCATGACTGCATAGAATCAATTTGCCAAGACTTGGAAGACTTTAAGCATGTAAGTAGTCACATAGATTCTGTCAGTAAACAACTGGGCTAGGATTTTCAATTCTTGGCACAGACAGGGATCTTTTATTCATCACATACCTAACTAGAAAAAAATCATCAATGAGGAGACAACAGTGCCAAAAACTGATTATGAAAGGAGTGACACGTCAAAGAAGAAGAGGTCAGTGATGGACACATTTATACCAACTGAGTTCACTCACAGCATGCACCACTACATTAATTACTAAATCCTGGTAACCACCTACACAGTAATTGTGTTCTAATAAAACGATGTATAAATTAAACACCTTTTGATGAATATACTCAATGGGGTTTGTCTCAGCTTGATTCTTAGGCTATTTAACGACGCTGTTTAATGCACATCCGCACGTTACTCAGTGTAAATTAACAGTGCGTGTCATGATGGGGGGTGGGGGGAAAATTACATTTTCGTGTTTTCGAATTACACGGTATTTTACAGGTATGAAACTACTGCATAAATCGGAGAATATATGTATCATGCAGCAATTTCATACCGAAACAACTTATTTCCTCGCTGCTTCAAAATACATCAACAGGCGACCTTGGGATTGCCGAATATTTCAAAACGAAAAAAAGTTTACGCCATATTTAAATATCTCAAATATCAATGCGCAAATGTTATTACTGTTTTTGATGGGGCAAAACCAACATAACGTCATCGATAAAAGATTTAAAACTCGGATATATACAATAAATAACGTTTAAATCGGAACTCACGAGAAGAATAAAAAAAATAAGCAACTAGTCACAAAAGAATGTCAGCTGTTACCTGTCTATCTGATATGTTTGCCATATTGTCTTCTTGAATAATTATTACGTATAAATTATTAAAAACCGCACATTATAAAGACAGCAACAGCACAAGGAAGACTTATTCGGGTTCGCGCTGCGAGAACATGAACCCGGGCAACCACACGCATGCGTAGCTGTTGTGGGGGGGGGGGTCTCGCCTGATCAATAGGCAACTACGATTGAGACTCGACCATTGAGCTCTACCTGAAGGAGACATCCTGCATTCTAACGTAACGATAAGGGAAACTTCATCAATATGACGCTTGGGTGCTTCGCTCTATCGGTACGTACTGGCACTACAATGGGCGGATCTATATTACGGCAATTTGGGAATTATGAATCGATGGATGCAAGTATTTGGAAGGAGCTTGTGTAACATATTTCAAGGGGCATTCTTCGTTTG